TGGATATAAATAGTACCTAACAATCATACACTGTAACTTGTATTAAAATTAATACGCATAATAAAACATTATCCGTAAAAATCATATATAAATATTTTTATACATGTATAAATAATTATGTACATGGTGTATACCAGTGGCGTACGTAGGATTTTTTCAAGGGGGGATTGTAATATACATGCATTTTTTTTTGCTCATCACTGAAAAATCTCTTACCACTATGCTATACAGTGGCATATTTTCAATTTTTTCTGGGGGGGTCCACAGTTTATACATGATTAATATAAACTATATATTACATTGTAATAGTTACGTCCTTAAGCAGTTTTTGGAGGAAGTTGAACTAAATATATAATGTAATAATCGTATAGTCTTATTTAATATTATATATATTATAATATTATATTATATATACTTGTATATTGTATTTAGCACTATATATTATAAAGTATTGTTATAAAATAAATTCCAGTCGTTTCGATTTTTTGGCCAATTCCTCTATCACAGTGATTCTCAACCTTTTTTATGCTATTACCAGTGGCGTAGCCAAGGAGGGGGGAGGCAAAGAGGGTTATAGCCCCCCCCATGGGCCGTGTTTATATGTATAATGTATCTTTGACTATTTAATAGAATCAATGGATGTTCGTTTTAATCAAAGACTTATTGATGTTATGCCACTTGAAGGACTTATTCCGGCCAATTTAAATATGTATAACGATAAAAATATTATAAAAGCTGCTTAAATATATGTCCAAGATCTCCATGATGATACCTCATCAACAATCAGAGCTGACCTGTTCATATGGAGGCAATAATGGAGTCAAAATACTATTCCAAAACCGAATTCTGCTCTTGATTCACTCTCTCATCGCACCAATCTTCGACCTAACATTAAAATACTTTTATAATTATTACAATTTATTTATTTATTTGAACCATGGATCCCGATAAATTAATCAGTCTCGTGTATGAGAATAGGTATTTGTGGGACATGAGTGAACTTTGTAATACTTTCTTCTATTTTCTCCAGTATGTATTTAAATGTTTCTGGTTTCATCCTGAAATACTCGAAAAACTTTTCCGGTTGATCCCACAATTCTTGAAATAACATTTCAAACTCTCCTTTGTTGTCTCTTCTAGAAAATAACTCGTTGACATGCTCTGTTTTTCCACCATTTAACAACAATAATTTCAATAACGGACTTTCAAAAAAATACAATTTATCAAGTTCGTCCATCTTTGCTGGGTGGCAGAAACATACTGACCACCAAAATGTCAAAAACCGCGCACAGTGTAACCGCTTTGTTCTGACGACAAATTCGTCAGAATAATTATTCGTCAGAACTCGCATACATAGTAACCGTAGCCTTAAGTATATCATATTTTATTCCATACGTTTGTTGCGCTGATAAAATTAGATTATATTTATTAATTGTAAATAAGTCATTATCGGTGGTATCACTAATTCTAAAATGTAATATAAATATACTTATACACTTTTATGAGCATATTGTGTTTTTTTTTTACAAGGTATTCATTTCTAATTCAGTTTCATCCCTAATAAATGGCCTCTTGAAATGGCTTGACCCACAGTTCCCCGACTCTTGATCCGCCCCTGGTGTTACCTATTATAGATTAAGCTATACCATTCAATACATGGTTCCTGGTTATACATATTACAAAAAAAAATTTTTTTTTCTATAAATTACAACTCTACTTTGCATTTGGATGTTGGTAACATCTAATTATAAACATAAATTTCAGTGTAACATCTATAATGCTGTTGCGCAAAAAAAAAAAAAAAAAGTTAAATTTCTACTTTTTCTGTTATGTAATAAGGGAGAAGGGGTGAACCTCCTAACCCCCCTTCTTTTAACTTTAACCCCCCTTCAGGCCTACGACCCTGAATTAGGTGAATTCATCAAGACAATATGGTAATGCGGTACGGCCATCCGCAAGCACGGATACGTAGGTAACCATAGGTGTCGACTGACCGAAGAGGCGACGACCATCTCAAGTTATGAAATCGTTATACGTATACAGCCGGGAAATATAATTATATTTATTCCTATTATTGTTGTACGTATAAATACACATATTTTCTTCGGATTACGACTTGGCATTCATCGTCATTGTCATCGTATGGAGTATGGAGTATGGTCACTTATTTTCTATAAAACTGGTTTCGATTAGTTGGTAAACCACGTCTGTACATTATTTTATGACACAAACCTTCACGACCACTCGTCACGTCGTCATTTGAGTGTACTGCAATTGAACACCTGCATGGTTCACAGATATAACAGAATTACACAACAACGAAAAACCGAAGACCGGTGTCACAGGCGATTATTACCCCCCACAATTTTTTACCGGGGGGTATTAATCATCTGAAGTAATAATCGCCTGTTACACCGGGACATTCTATCAAACGCTATTTTTTTAATTTTAGTTCAAAGATTGCACAAACGAATCGATACAATCCGATAGGTATGAACAAATGACTGTGAGCAAACTCATTCCTGAGGAAATATTAATACGTCGTCTACCGGACGTTTGGCTTTATTTCGACGAAAAAGTAATGGGTTTTATAAATAGAAATCTGAATGCAAGACGAAGACATTTCACTAATACAGTCAGTGTAAACTTTTCGAAAAACATCCAGATTTTTTTCATACCGTTTTTTAAAATTTTAAATAAAGTAAAACTGATTTTTGCCCCTGCAACACTAATGTATGATGGCAATTTAATTTTAAATTTTTAACATTTAGTCGTAGCTTCTTATGAAATAGTTTTTGAAAAATTACTGAACTTTGTATTGTAAGCACTTACTGATTTACTTACACGTGTACCCAATGAAATCCAGGGCATTTAAAATAATCTATTATAGGGTCCAGTGGCGTACATTCAATCTTGCTCTGGGGGGGGGGGGGGGGAAGAAAAATAATCGTCATCTTTTTTTTTTGGCGCACAGATAAATAAGATAAATAGATATTATTTTATACAACTTTTTTACCAATTTACAGTTTACTTTTACATTACAGTAAATTAATAGCTATTGAAATATAAAAACAGCATAGTTAACAAAACTTTTCAAACACCTATCAATATAATTATTTAATTATCATAATATTTGTATAGTTGTATATTTTAAGCTCAAAGCGTAATAATGAAATTTTGAATATATTACACGTCATCAATAATAAAACAATTTTTTTTTTTTGGCCCTAGGGGGGGAGTTTGAACCCGAGACCCCCCTCCCTGTATGTACGCCACTGATAGGGTCTATATGTACAGATATATGTTATCATATAACCTTAAGAACCAAAATATTATTTAGCTTGAAAATCCTTATAAATATACAATATTCACTAACACTTTTTTGGTATTTTAATTTTTATTGTATACTATACATTAATATTTCACGAGAAAAAAATATAACAAATTATTTACATACATTAGATGACTTTTTATACCTATATTTTATGTAAATTCACAAAAAAAAGTTAGAAGGAAATACTACTGTACCTCATACACTATTACTCGTATGTGTTTGCTCCAGATATCCAGTGACTGATTTTCCAGTATTGGAAACCAGCTGGATTGGTAATATTCATGAATTTAATTTTAATTTTAAGGAAACAAAAACAACGAAAATAATAAAAATCATGAAATTAAATTTTTAAACCACAACAAAGTTAAAAATAAAAAGATAGAGCAAGTGAGGACTCAAATAAACTATATTCATCCACTGCCATAGGGACACTTAAAATAAGAAAATATTAAAATTTAGTTTTTCTATTGATAAAACTATATTAATGAATTCCATACAGTATTTTGCGACTTTGATGATTGGGTACATAAAATACAGGAAGATTTTTTCCATTTTCTCAATAATTTTCCAAAGCAAACGGCAAAAATTAAAAAATTAATTACATCAAATTGTTTAAGTTTTTATATTTAAAGAATATATACACCTCAAGATTAATTTTATTCATAACTTACAATTTTCATTTCTATAACCAGAAGATTTTAAACTAGTATTGAACTGTTGAAGATAAAAACAATAAAAAATAAAATTACTCAGTTATCATATTATCTAATCAGAATGTTCTAGGATAGCAAATTCAGTACACAAATTTAATAATAATATGAGGGTAAATAAATAAATTTAAAAATAATTAATTAACAAAATACAAGAATTTATATAATAATTTAATTTTTATATGTTTTTCTCATAATTAAATAATTAATGCTGAAATATACATGAACACATACAATATGATATGAGAAATATATTTATTATTGAAGTTTGTAATAGCAAATGCTCAATGAAGCAGTATTAAGACTAAGGCAATTTTAACTATACAGATAGTGTTTACTAAATCTAAAAAGATACCCTAATTGTAAAATATTGCACTAAATAATAAAAATACTATTTTATAAAATACAAATAAATGTTAACAGTGTTAATAAATTATTATACTTGAACTTAAACCAGTAAAAAAATGTGCTTTAATGAAATATAGACAGTTTCAATAATTTTACTTGAGCCTTTGAGTAACACTTGCGAGTGCGACAGCAAATGCTTGGACGGCTGAAAATGGATGTTGAAAGTCTAGAGCAAAATTATTGCGATCAATGCGTCCAAACTGCATAACTTGTATGCCATCATATTCAACTTGAAAATTTTTTGCTGATTCTTGAGTAACTCTACCTCCAAAATCTAATTGGTAAACCTGAGTTAAGTCATTCCAGATAGGTGCTTTGTTTCGCATAACAAATTGCTGCCTCTTGGAACACATATCAATCTAAAATTTTAAATATATAATTAATTCAAGTTTGAATACAGCTAAATAATTTATGTTACTTTATTTTTGATTTGAGATTTTTGGAAAGTTTCTAAATTTTGATAATCCGGATCAATTTGAGTTCTAAGGACTTTACGGAAAAATAATGGAGAGTTCATTAACCGTTTCCTGAAAAACAAACATGATAAAGTTTAGAGTAAAATTATTATGATAGAACTACATTACCTGATCGGCGATGATGAACCACTTTTCTTTTTAGCTGCAACTGGACTAGTTGGTAAACTATGAGCAAAAGTCTCTGAAATTTTAGAGTCTTCCACTACTCTAGATACTGCTAATTTAGGATTAGAAGAACCAACACTACAGCTACGCCGTCTTTGAAGTTGTTTTGGTGTTAAAGAATCATCGTCTATTGATTGTCCATCTCCAACAATAGATAATGTCATTTGACGAGGTTGTAAATGCAAAATGGATGTGCGGTATGACACTCTACCTAATTTTTTAGTCAAATCATCACACAACCCACGGATATGGAATTTTGTACCCCAAACATTTGCTGTGACTTCTGCCAAACGATAGTCCTATATAGTAAGACATAGGTAACATATTTTCAACTTTAAACTATTAATCATAAAAACAATTAAATACTTCAGGTAACACATCAGTATAGCAATTCAATTGCAATTTTCGATTACAACAAGCAGGCCTTGATTTGTGCCTATTTTTTCTGTGTAGTTTAGGACTAGAACAAGATTCCGGTTCAGAATCATCCCAGCCAAAATTATTATAAGTTATCTGTGCATTAGCATATGTTTTATCTGAATAAACAATAAGAACAATACAAAATGAATATTATAGTTATTTGATTTTAAATGACTATCAATGATAAAATTAATATAAACATTTTATTATTATAATTAAACAAAAATAATATACATTGATTAGAATTCCAATAAAGAATAAAGCATTTTGTACTTACCATCTACTTGTGGATCAAAGATTACAAATTCTGGTTTCAACATACTGATTCTTTTACCTTTAAGGAGTGGTACAAGACCTCCAAGGTACTCCATATATAACACATAACATACAGGTGGTGTTGTTTCTGGTCCATTAACATGTTGTACAACTGTACAATAAACACGATTTTTTGGCGAACTACTCACAAACTGACGCAATTCTGACAACTTGGGTACTTCACACTACACAATATTATGATTTATTTATTATAAACATAGTAATTAACAACAATTTAAAATGCATTTAATACTTATGATAATATACTAACATAAATAGTAGATGAAGAAATTGAGGTTAAAATATCTCTAATACATATTGGAAGTAACTCGCGAGGTGGAAACAATGATTCATCATATAGCCGCAATGCACAAAGTATATGTAAAGGAATAATTGAAGCAGACACACATGCGACATGTATTTCAGGTCCAGTTGCTATAAATATTCTTCGGTCATTGTGTGCCCATGTGACAGCTGTTACATCAGTCTAATATATTTTTAAATAAAATGTATTACAATAACCCTATTTCATATAAAGAAGATCATAAAATTATAAAACTTACTGAAGATTGAGGCATGTTAATAGAATATACTAACTGACCAGTATCTGAATAAATTTGTACTATGTTAACACAAAGTCTACCAGGCCTTGAACCAGCAACACAAAGCAACTCTTTAGAATTAGCCCATTCCATATAAATTGGACATAAACCAGTACATATTAATATTGGAGCAGGGTCATCATATCGTCGCATTAACTGAATAGAACCATTTTTACAACATATTGCTAACACGTGCTTAAACAAATCTAAAAACATATTACATCCAAAAAGAATAATTTTACTATTATTTACTATTATTACTATTATTTCGATAGTTAAATTAACTTGTATACTCACAATCTGATTTTTTTCTATTTTCATTCATGCAAAATTTTTCACAAGACCAAGCCATAGATGAAATACCTGAATCATCTGACAAGTTTACTTGGGATATAGGAGCTCCGTGAATATCCAAAACTTTCATCTGGCCTCTACTAGTTCCAAAATATACCTAGATATGAAATTGTAATAATGTATAATTATTTTACAATGAACATAATATCATCTATAACTAGTTATAAGAAGCTGATAGAACATACTTGTTGATCATCTGGCGACCAAGCACCACATGTAACTGTTCCTTCTGGATGTAACATAGATGACCAGTACCTATGACCAGTAACTGAACCCACCAAAACAAATCCATCCTAAATAATTGATATATTATGTTAGGTGATATTAAATATAATCATCAGTACATTTAGTCATTAAGATACTAACTTGATAGCATATTAATGCTAACCGACCATCATGAGACCAACTAAAATAAGTAACTCTTGTATTTCTGTCATTGATTAACTCAACATTCCAACGACAGTCAAATTTGGCCCAAACATTTATTACACCTGAACTATCACAGGATGCCAATTTTTGATATGGTTCATTCCATTTCACAAGTAAGACCTTTTAATATAAAAGTTATTTCTATGAGTAAATAATATTATAGCAAGTAAAAGTATTAAATTTAAAACTTCCATGATTACTTATGAGCAGCGTTTATTTCAGGCATGTCATCAGGGAAGAGGAAGAGCCCATATACTAAATAGTTGAACTTTAATAGGGTATATCTTAAATTATTTTATATAAAAATATCTTAGATCTCTATAATTAATTTTAGTCAATTTTTCATTTAATTTTAAAATAAGAAACATGAAGGATATTAAAAACTTTTTACACTTCTCATTTTATTATCTATTGAATAAAAGTAAAATACATTTTTATGAAACTGATGAGGTTAAAGTTGTCTTTAACTGTTTTTCATACCCCTAAAGAAAACATCTAAAAAAACACTGCTTATATTCCAATAATTATTGGAATAGACTTCATGAATTTATTAAAAATCATGAGTGATACATTTTAAAATATTTATGTAATATAATACTTACCAATATTCAACAGAAAAGCCAAATCAATAATAAAAAATAAAAAAAATGCAGTGTTCAAAGATAACATAAAATTGCTGTGAAACTAAAAATAAAAATAAAATATAATAAAACAAATCTAAATTATTTATAAATGTATAACAATAAATAATAAATATAAAAAAAAAAAACAATAATAAAATGACAAAAAATTAATTAAAATTATAAACACAATTAAGGGGAATGAAAATATATACCTTGGCATGATGATTTCTCAAGTTGTAGTTGGTACGTAGAGGTAATCTATCATTATTTGAATCACAACTTGATGATATAGAAGTGAATGTAACACCAACAACACCTTGAGAATTACCTGTTGCCAACCACCCTTGTTTGTAGTAATTGCGTCCATCCAAATTCCATCCTTCTTCCTAATATAACGTATAATAAAATACTAAAATATAGCAAAACTAAACCACCAAAATGTCCAAAAATTAAAAACAAATATAAAAAAATCTCATTAGAAGGAAGTACTAATAGGTACATATTATATGGTTTATGTCAATTTCAATCATCACAAGGTGTAACTTAAAAAATAGTAATGGAACACAAATTCCCAAATACATTTTATAAATAATAAAATTCAAAAAACATAATGTTTTGAGGAAAAATATTAGAATAAATTTAATGATTATTATTAAGTTCAAATTTCTCAATTAATGTTCTACATACTGCTTTAATCGGAAGATTATATTGAATTATATTTATAATGTCGGATCAAACATTACTGTTTATAAACAAAAACAATATTCTTCAGTTTTCACTTTTACACACAATTTAATTATTCAAAAACTACTTTCTATTACACCATTACAACATTTTATTTCACCCCAAACACGACGTTCTAATTGTAATTTTGATCAGTTGTTTACACGAACAATACGAATTCAAAAATTGTATAATATTATTCTTAAACATAGGTCACACCTCAGCATTATCTGGAACTCTGCCCATCCAAGATAGTGACAATATGTCGCTGTCACATTTCGTGTTGGCATTCTTCTCAAACCTGATATGCATTGTAGTTTTTCAAAGAAACGGGAACGCCGACATTATGGCACAAAAGTCGTAAGACGTACGAAGACTAATTTTAACACGATTGTTGTACAGAAATAGTAGCCTATTTATTTTCTAAAATTATTGATTTATTTCTGGACAATAACAACCACGGGTATGTTATTACGGCCGTGATAATATTGAGGCACAGACGAGACCACTAACCGAGTTGTTGTCGTCGACCGTCCATCGGTTATAACGGTTTTAGAGGTTATATAATTGTTCGAATTAATTTATGTTCGTAGTATGTCAGTGTCAAGTTTTGCCTGTTATTATCACAGATTATATTAAAATAATTAGTTTAGTTTAATATAATCTGCTTTATTATTTTTATTACTCATTTAGTTATCTTCGTTGTATCCTATCTAGTAGTCTCCGATGTTAGATTATTTTTTAAGTGCCCGTTCATAGTTACGGTGTTTTATGTTTTTTTCTGTTTTTCGTACTCAGCACGATCATGTTGTCCCGTTTCTGCCCAACCAGCTTAAAAAAACAGTCGTTGACCATACCCCAATGTGTTCGATATTCTTGCGCCATCCTGTCCAATAAAGATAGATCGGCCCAAGACCAGCGAAATCGAATGATCAACAGGAATCGTCCGTGTATAGCATCTGCTATTAACGTGCCAGTACGTTATAGACGGTTCGACAGTAAAAACGATCCCAAAGATGATGGCAATTCAGAAGAATTAGAAGAATCTCATAACGTGAGAGCAGTGTACGATGTTAAATCGAATCCAGATAATACTTCAATCGCGACCATTCAAGTTCCAGACGAATTACCTTTTTTGCCCTTAGTCACCATAGCTAAACCTCCTTTATATCCTCGATTGTTTAGAATCGTTGAGGTTTGTAAATAATATGAAATCAGTTAGATGATCAGTTAGAAATCAGTTAAATTATGATTCCATTATTTTCTTGCAGATTAGCAATCCAAAATTAATTGCTTTAATCAAAAGAAAAAAAGCATTAAATCAACCTTTTATTGGACTTTTTATGAGGAAAAACGTAGATGTGTGAGTTGGAATTACAATTATTGTAGTTAATTATGTATTCATGGATATAGTAAGGTCTTGTTAATCCGAACAAAATTAAGAATGTTCATCCTACTTACTAATATATTTAGAATCTGATTTAAAAGCAAGTTATTTTCCATTAATGAAAAAGTACATTGTACATTTAAGTTTATGAGTCTGCATTTGATCAGCATTTAGTGAACCCAATGAAAAAATAAATTACTATTTTATATGTATATGTTCCTTATTTATTATAATAATAAATTTAAAAATTATTTTGTAGGTTAAAATTACAAAAATTTTGAGTTTAATAAAGTCATAAATTATTTGAAAGAGCTCTTTTCTTTATTCCTTTTGGATTAATGAGATTCCATTGCATTTTTTTATAAAAAAAAAATTGGCTCAATATTCATAATTTTTTTTTTTTAGAGTTTCAGATAATATTGTTACAAATGTTGATGAAGTTTATAGTGTTGGATCACTTGGGAGAATAAATGAAATGCGAGAATTTGGGAACAAATTGCACATGCTTATACAATGCTTTAGGCGCATTAAATTAACAAAACCACTTTTTGAAGACCAAGATGTTGATAAAAGTATTGTTTAATTATCTAAATAATGTGATAGTTGATAACCTTGGATATTTTAATTCTTAAATTAATGTTTTATTTATTATTATTGTTGTGACTTAAATATTATTATCTAACTTAAATTATATAGTTACAAATGATTTGACAAAACGCAATAAAAAACAATTGCGAGTTAAAGGAATTTCAGGGACACCTGAAGTAGTACCTGATCCTGAAATAGAAAATTCACAAGTGCTTATGATTGAGGTAGAAAATTTAAAAGATCAACCTTATGATAAAACAATGGAAATAAAGGTATAAAAAATGTTTGTTAATATTATTTAACAACAAAATTTAATTAATTTACAATTTGTCTTAGGCAATATCTCAAGAAATAATTAAAACAATTCAATCTATTATCAGCATAAATCCTATATATAAGGAAATATTACATCCAATGTTACAACATGGCAATGTAGCAGATGATCCTTCTTATTTATCTGATGTAGCAACAGCTATTGCTGATTGTGAAACTCATGAATATCAAGAAATTTTAGAAGAAACTAATGTGAGTATTTGATCAAGTATAGTCTTATATCATTAAAATAATAATTTATTTGTAATTATCTCGAAAATATATATTATGTAACCTTATATCTTTAAAAAAATGTATTGAAAGTGTTAAATAAAACATTTACCTTATATAGTTACTTATTTTTTATAGTTTACCATATATATTTATTATATATATTTTATTTTTGAATTTATTATTTTACTTTATTATCATAATTTATATTTTTTTCTTTTTTTTTTACATTATTGTTAGAACAGTAAAATATTTTGAAGTATTAATTTCAAAAGTATGTTGATTATTTATATTTTAATTTGTTTAGGTTCCAAAGCGACTTTTGCTTGCATTGGGTTGTGTTAAAAAACTCTTAGAACTTAGTGAAATTCAAATAAAAATTAGTAAAGAAGTTGATGAAAAAGTAAAACAACAACATCGTAAGTTTATACTTCAAGAACAACTTAAAGTTATAAAAAAAGAACTTGGCTTAGAAAAAGATGATAAAGATTCTATTGTAGAAAAGTTTAGAGATCGATTAAAGGTATTTTATTTCTACTATAAGTTAGTTTAACTAAACAATAAGTTATTTTTATAAATGTATGCATCAATTTACTAATAAAATATATTATTGATTTAATTGTTAGTATATAAATAAATAAGCAAATGGTATAATACTTCAGACTATACTTTTATTTATTTATTTCTATGTATAAACTATTAGTTTATTTATTTATATACTAATTTTTGAGTAGTAATAATTTAATAATTTTCATTTTATTTTTTGTTATTTTATTATTAACTATTAGACAATGATAAAAAATAATGTATAATAATATTATTTAAACAACATATTTGTAATTAATAGGATAAAACGGTACCAATAAAAGTTATGGAAGTTATTGAAGAAGAATTAACCAAACTTTCATTTTTAGAGCAGCATTCCTCTGAATTTAAGTAAGTCCTTTGTTGTCTAACAGTAATAATATCATTTAACTAACTAAAAGTTGAACACAATTTCTTATTAATAATAAATATTAATTATATGATTTTGCTTTAGCATCCTAGCTTTTAATCTTCCAGATGTAGAAAAAGTATTTTGAATTATTAAATATTTATACTATACATATTTTATTTAGTGTTACAAGAAATTATCTAGATTGGCTAACACAATTGCCTTGGGGTTCAACAAGTAATGAAAATTTTGATTTAAAACAAGCAACAACCATTTTAGATGAAGATCATTATGGAATGGAGGATGTTAAAAAGCGAATCCTCGAATTCATTGCAGTAAGCAAATTAAAAGGTTCAACTCATGGGAAAATCTTGTGTTTCCATGGGCCACCTGGAGTTGGCAAAACAAGTATTGCGAAATCAATCGCGAGAGCTTTAAACCGAGAAGTAATTGAATTCCATTTCATATTTATGTATTCATTTATAACCTACTGTGTAATTATACTTAATTATTTTTGCAGTATTTTAGATTTAGTGTTGGTGGCATGACTGATGTAGCTGAGATTAAAGGTCATCGCAGAACCTATGTTGGTGCTATGCCTGGTAAAATGATTCAATGCTTGAAGAAAACTTCCACTGAAAACCCTTTAGTTTTAATTGATGAAGTTGACAAAATAGGAAGGTAATATTTTAAAATAATTTTATTAATCTAATATTATTAGTTTTTGTATTATGTTAGAGGTCATCAAGGTGATCCATCATCTGCATTATTAGAAATGCTAGATCCTGAACAGAATGCTAATTTCTTAGATCATTACTTGGATGTATCTGTTGACCTATCCAAGGTACTATTCATATGTACTGCCAATGTAATCAACACTATTCCTGAACCCCTTCGTGATCGTATGGAACTTATAGATGTTTCTGGATATGTAGCTGAAGAAAAAATGGCCATTTCCAAACAATATTTGATTCCGCAAGGACTCAAATCAACTGGTGTAACAAATGATCAAGTAAAATAAAATTATAAGTTGTATCTTCTTTTATATAAATAATTTATATTTTCAGGTTGAAATTGCTGATGAAAGTTTGTGTACCCTTATTAAATCGTATTGTCGTGAAAGCGGTGTACGTAATCTTCAAAAACATGTTGAAAAGGTACTTTTATTATATTAATTTATATATTTTGAAACAAATATAACAAACTTCTATTTGTTGTTTATTTATTTCACAGATATTAAGAAAAGTTGCATTAAAAATAGTAACTGGAGAATCAGATAAAATAATTATTACCAATGATAAATTATATGATTTTCTTGGAAATCCTGTATTTACCAATAATCGTATGTATGAAGAGCCAATTGCTGGAGTTGTTATGGGATTGGCTTGGACTGCCATGGGTTAGTTTATATTTCTGATTAATTCACCATACAATCGAGTTAAAATTATTTACCTCTAAAAAAACATTCTTGGTTTCTTTTCAAATTATTTAAAGTTTAATTAATCTTAATAAATAAATTTATTTTACTTTATCAGATTCAAATTACTTTTTAATCTTCACTGTTATATAAATGTATTTTTTTAGGTGGTGCCATGATGTATATCGAAACAGAGTGGACAAAAAATCCAGAGAGTATAGTTGAAAAAGATAAAGCTCTTGGTAGTATGATTTTAACTGGTCGTTTGGGAGAGACTATGCAAGAATCTGCAAAAACAGCATATACTGTAGCAAAACATTACCTAAATAAAATTGATCCCCAAAACAAATCGCTGCTTACTGGAAGCTTACATTTACACATTCCTGAAGTAAATAATAGAATAATTTATTTTATTTTTTTTTTTCATCAGTATTTATTAAGGTAATATTGAAAAATCATAGTAATCTGACAAAATCTAATATGCTTAAATCACTCGGTTAAAAATATATCGATAAGATTACAACTTTTTACAACTAAAATTGTAATAATCTGAACTAGTAACCTATAAGTCTAAAGAATCATTACATTTACTAAGCCTATGTACGACCTTATAATATTTAGTTTTTTATTACGAATAATTTTCTATTGTTGTAACTATTAATTTATATAGGGTGCAACACCTAAAGATGGACCCAGTGCTGGTTGTACAATTGTTACTGCTTTACTATCATTGGCTCTGAACATTCCAATACGTAACAATGTTGCTATGACAGGTGAAATCTCTCTTAAAGGAAAAGTTATGCCAGTAGGAGGAATTAAAGAAAAAACAATAGCAGTATGTGATTACATATGTATCTCAAGTATCATTCTAAGTTAAAATTTTAATTTATTTTAGGCTAAAAGGGAAAATATTGACTGTTTAATACTACCAGATGAAAACAGAAAAGACTACAATGAACTTCCAAAGTTTATTACTGATGGACTTGAAGTTCATTTTGTTTCATATTACAAGGATATTTTTAAAATAGTCTTTGATAAACAATAATATTCCTTAACCTATTAAGTCTGTTAATTTTTAATTGTATATTTGTTATTGCATAGATGTTAGTATTTTGTGTAATAAATTTAACTAAATTATTGTAGCTTTATAATAAATATGAAGACTTCAACATTTTGAACTAAATTTGTCAAAAATCTAAAAAAAAAATATCTAGTATTAATTTAGTTTAAATATTATTATATTTATTAGTTATTAAGGAAAAACAGTTATTTGAATTTCCTGACAAAATTTTCACTTAAAAAACATTTTATTTATAACTCTGACTATCAGGGCCATATTTACGCATAGACAAAATAGACATTTGTCCTGGGCCTACGTGGCCAAGGGGCCCACTGGTGACTAACTTTGTAATATATTATTTTGTCGAAATAAAATTTTTTTTTTTATTGTTTTTGTCTAAGACATAATAACAAGACAAATGACATAATAAAATATATACATAAAACAAAAATACAATGATAGTTTATATAATAGTACAAGAATTAAGAAACCAGTAGTTTGTATTTTTAGCTATAGACTATAAGCTTAGAAATATTCGTATGGTATTATTTATAAACTGAATAATAATACAACCTTTTTCCCGTAATATGATAACTATAGTCACAACATTTTATATTGTTTTGTGGTAAAAATAATAATAAATACACAGCTCGCATTATAGCCATGCGCGATAACGCCGATAACATTGTACATAATATATATATTTTTATTACGAGTACATTACTCGTAATTTGTGGTGGTCGACAAATAATACAAATGTACAGACGTACAGTTGCGATTTATGATTTCAACGAGCGACATATTATATTATTTTATTTTATATAAAATGTTACCAAAAAAATATCTAAGTAGCTCCGCCAAAAGAAAATTAAAAGAAAAAAAAGAAGAAGAAATTAAAAAGTTACGTGGAAATTTAAATAAATATGTTGTTAAAATTAATACAGAATCATCTCCATCACTTGTTATTGATAATTTAGAAAGTAAGTAGTTCAAACTAATTTATAATAAAATATATTATTGTCCGAGAAAAAAAAACGAAATAATATAGCTACTAATAATAATAATATATATACTCTTATTTTATGTTTTTAAATAATACTCATTACTCAAGTATATATATGTAATATTTATTTTTTATTTTTTAGTCAATTCACAAAATTTAAATTCAGAAAATATTACTAACCAGGTTAAATCAAATGAACTAACGATTAATGAAGAATCTACGACTCAATCTATGGTAAGTTTATTTGAAAATGAACTTGAAAAACATGATCAAAATCCAATCGATAATAATTTAAATACAATTAATAACGATATAAAACAAATCAATTTTGAAAATTTCATTGACGATATTGCTTTATGGCCCTTATCCATAACGGACAATTTTTGGGAATACTTCACACTTCATCCTCCAAATCAAAATATTCAAGCTATAGACGAGTCCAAGAAATCGATAAGAGGTATTTCTCGTAAATTAAAAAAAAACATAATTTTTATATAACAAAAATGAATGGTATCTCAGTTCCAAGAACTTGGTTAATATATTCTCCCTCGAGTGTCAGCGTATTCTGTTATATTTGTAAATTTTATGCTAAAACTTCAAAACATTTACTTTGCAAGGAAGGTTATAGTGATTGGCATCATATTACTGAACGGCTTATTGAACATGAGAATTCAACTACTCATAGAAATGTAATATGTGATTATTCCAATCGTTCTGTAGAATTAAAACGAATTGATTGCCAACTAGTAAAAGAATATAAAACAGAAGTTCAATATTGGAGAAATATTTTAAAACGTACTATAGCTGTAATTCAGTTTGGCCAAAGAGGTTTAGCTTTTTTTGGGGATAATGAAATATTAGGTAATTCCCATAATGGTAATTTTTTAGGTATTATGGAATTAATAGCTAAATTTTACCCATTCCTTAAGGAACATTTAAATAATTATGGAAATAAAGTTAGTGGAAAATCTAACTATATTTCATCTCATATAATTCGTGAGCTTATATCACTGATGGCAGATAAAGTTTTAAATGTAATTGTAGAAGAAATAAAAAATGCTAAATATTTTGGCCTTATTGTAGACTCAACGCCAGATGTGACACATATAGACCAACTAGCTATAGTTTTACGTTATGTAAAATCTGATGGCCAAGCCATTGAACGTTTTATAAAATTTATAGATATTTATAGTCATAATGCTGAATACTTAACATCAACTGTTATTGAAACAATAAAAAAATTAGGTTTAAATATTGAGAACTGTGTTGGCCAGTCATACGATAATGCCAGTAATATGGCTGGAAAGTATACGGGATTACAAGCGCGAATAAAAAAGATAGCTCCAGCTGCTGAATATTTGCCGTGCGCAGCATATTCAATAAATTTAGTAGGTGTTCGTGCTGTTGAAAATTGTAATAATGCAGTTAAATATTTCAGTATTATTCAAACATTTTTTTTCTATATCAACTCATCGTTGGGATAGATTAAATCAAAGTTTAAAATCAAAGGGAATGCTTTATTTAAAACCATCATCACAGACACGTTGGTCAGCGAATGCTAATGCTACTAAGGCCTTGACCCTTGGCTATTCTGAAATTACCAAAATTCTTTTTGAAATGTATTATGATATGAATGAAAATACAAATACTCGTAATGAAGCAAAAAATATTTTTTATCAACTAAGAACAAGAGAAATGGCGATTATGATTGTTACTTGGAATTGTATATTACAGCGAATAAATTTAACTTCAAAAACTATACAAAGTTCAACAACAAATATATCGATAATAGTACCATTATACAATTCTCTATTTGATTTTATACAAAATGTCCGAGAAAATTTTGAAATATACGAAAATGAATCTTATTTAATAGTAGAAAAACAAATTGATTACAAATGCAAAAGAATAAAAAAAATGTTGAAGAGATACAACAAAGTTTAAGACAAAATGTAATTACTGATACACATTATGTAATTTACGATACATTATTGGCAGAAATACAAAAAAGAAGAGAAGTTTATGTTAATGTGGAAAAAAGATTTGGATTTTTATTTAAAGAAAACTTAACCAGAAATGAAATTATGACTAAAATTAAAGCATTAATATTGTTATATGAAAATGAACTTGATATTGACGCCGAAAGCTTCATAGATGAATTTATTCAATTTCAAAGTCTTATTTCATCTACCAACAATAGCACAACAATAACGCCAACCGATCAATTAAAGTTTATAAGAAATATGCAAATAGCACATACGTTTCCAAATGTAGAAACATGTTTGCATATATTTTTAACAATGCCAATAACTAATTGTTCTAGTGAAAGATTATTTTCATTTCTGAAAAGAATAAAAAATAGATTAAGGTCATCAATGAGTCAAGAAAAATAGGATGCCTTAGGAATACTTTCAATAGAAAGCGATGTCACGGCAAGTATTGATTTTGATGAAATTATAGATGTATTTTCCAAACAAAAGATCAGAAAAAAAAATTTTTAATAATTAATTTGAAATAGTTGTATTTTTTAATTTTTAATTGTATTTATTGACAAGTGCTTTAAAGAATTAAATATAATTTTGATATTCATATTGTATTTGTGTATATTTATTCTTTATTTATGTTATAATTTATAGCCTTATAGGCCCAATTTTTTATTTTGTCCTGGGCCATTTATTTGGTAAATCAGGCTCTGCTGACTATAACTCAGTATCGTTCAAATTTGGTTATTTTGACATTATTATTTGGCTGAAACTTTCAAAAAATTAAATGAAATAAATTGATCAATACAGTGTAAAATAAACACAGTTTTCACAACTTAACAAAATCAGAACTTATAGAAAAAAAATTAAATTTTGTACTGTATGGTTTTCTCAACATAAAATTGATAATCTTATCTTGTAAAAGAAATATTTAGAGTCGATATTGATGAATTTGATACAATATTATCACATAATTTTTTATGCATCTATTTATTTTTGTTTCAAATAGACATTCCTGATTTTGAGGCTCTGTAATTTTTTTTTTTGGACATAAACAGTTTGATAATCGTCATAGGCGCAATTTGGGGTGGCTTGGGTGTGCTTAGCACCCCCAAATGTGTTCATATTAATTTACATTTAAATACGCATTAAGTATATAAAAACAGTTTTTATTGTATTAATATATAAATTTATTATTTATATAATGGTTGTGGAACTTTATCCTCTGTCTTTTCGGTCTTCAAACTGGATAATAGTAATAGGTAGGGTTGTTAGATTTTTAAAACCCTAAACCGGGACATCATATTGAATGATCCTTTTTTTATTTTGATATGAAAACAAAATAAGTGTAAATTTTGTAATTTGAATATTTATCAGCTAATACAAAAATACATTATTATTGTATATAACCATACCGATTAGATTACCATAATATTAAATGTTATTTTCTCTCGGCTTATATTAACCGGGATAAACTGAATGATTGGTCGGAACACCGAAATGAGTGGCAAACTTAGTAGTAAATATACCGAGTTTTAAAGAAATGATAAGTCATTTCTTTATCAAAACTGTTCTGAGCAAAGATTCAGTATAAAAACCAATCATTTAGAAGTATATTTTACCATTTTTAGTTGAATTACCAGTAGGTTATTTTTTTTATCAACCCATTTAACTTTTTATTGTTTGATGAAGAAAATTTTTTTTAACCAAATTTATTTGTATTCATAGTTTCATTATGATTGGGCGGACAAAATTTTGTTTCTTTAAAAAAATTTAATGTTTAAAATTTATGTAAAAACAGTGATAAAAATCGTAGATATAATCATTTACTTAAATGCTTATGAAATAAATTTCAGATTAACGATTTTTAAAAAATTTTCAATATCGGTAAATAAGTACTCGTATATGAGTAAGGTGATTACATTTTCAATATCAACATCAGTATTGATAATCAATATCCAAAAATAAAAATGTTATTACTTAAAGATTTTCAAAAAATATGATATTTTTTAAGTTCTATATTTAAACCAAAAGCGCTTTTTTTAAATTTTTTTCAAGTACAAAAAAAAATATCTTTGCTATAGGGTAAAAGTTTCAAGTTTCAAGCCACATTACTTTGGGAATTATGACTAAATAACCAAAATCTGAAAAGTGAGTCTTATTTACAGCGTATTTTTACTGTTTCAGGACAGTTTTTTCCCCATGCCTGGAAAAACTATGAAAATTTAAAAAAATGACCTATCTAAAGTACTACAGCATGCCAATTTAAAATCTAAAAAGTTCCTAGAAAAAACTTGGACCAGTATTTCTATACGAAAAAGTGTTAAAAAATAAAATACAAACAATAGATACATATGTTATGAGAAGTACCATTATTATATTAAGTTTGAGAAACGCTAAGCTTACACAATGACAAAACTAAACATTACGGTCACACTCGCACCTACTACAATTCAACCAACGATGTATGCACTGCGTCATTATCGTGCATTAAACCGAATAACATTACAACCACTTGCGTAATTTGTCAAGAATAACATCCCACCAATTGTCAAATTCATTAGCAACTTTAAAAACATCGCAACAAACCAATCGATCTATGCCCTTCCTCTAAATGTATGCCCCGCAGAACATAAGACCACACACAAGCAATACCTAGATACTCCACCACCTCACAACTATAAAGATCTTAATTTCAAGCAACTTCCGAAGTAAAACTTATACCTCAACATCAACCATAATTTAATATATCAGAATTTAAATCTGTAACTACCCCATTTATATCTCGCCTTATAACAGTAATCACACATATAATTGAGAATAATAATGGTAAATAACTATTATAATTCACTATTGGAACTTCAACGTTATTTTAAATCACTTATTTGAACTAATAACAATATTACATGAGAAAATAATAGCCCTTGTATCCGAATCTTATCATATTGAACGCTCTAAGTTAAACTTCTGGCTATTTTCTTATAACATTCCATCATCCAAACAGTACTGCACATGAAATACTAATTCGCACTTTTATACACTTCAATCCCCTTCCAAATACAACCGGAAACGATTTACTAGCTTGATCAGTTTCTATAACATTAAATAATATTCCTATAAATATAGCCCAGACCAATTGCCCTCTTAGACAGTGGCAGATATAGCGCGTTTTGGAGCCCCTAGGCTTAATCACTCTGCCCCCCCCCCCCTATCACTCTACTAAGGAACCAACAATATTTGGTCTAAACCCTTCTCTTCAAATTTTATTTAGTTTTTTTATCAAAAAAAAAATATTAAATCTTTAAAATAGAAAACTTTAAAAATAAAATATTTCATGTCTATTATTTTACTACAGATACTATTATTGCCAGTACAAATAAACAATGCTTATACAGTCACATAACGGAAATATAAATAGCCAGATATGGAAATACCTATACTTGGATAGTCGGATGTTCTCAATAAGTACATAGGTACTAATAAGTTATTAATAATAACTAGTAACTAACTGTAATTATTTTATTACAAATTAAATATTTTCAAATTGTAATAATAATTGTAATATTCTTATAATAGCATATAGGTACGCATCATACAATCTACATATTAATATATTATTATAACTTTTTAAAATTATTTTTATTCGTGTTTATATGACAAATATAAAAAAAATATATTAAAATAAATATACCTAATAAGTCAATAATAACTCTTAATTCTATAAAAAAAAAAAGCCGCCCCAGGCTATAAGCCTTTTAGTCTAATCCGCCAGTGCTCCTAGACACATCATAACAACGATTAACAACACAAATAATTTTTCAATTCACACGACCATAATTTCATCGTCGGAGAAATTTTAACGCGATACGTTTTCATTAAAGTTGTTAAGTAATTTGTGATTAAAATATTTATTTATTATTGTAAATGCCAATATCAATTAGTAGAAAGCCTAAACATAAAATATAAACTAAATTAAGTAGGTACAACAATTACGGTTAAATTAAAATTCTAAAATTAAAATACTTAGTAAAGGTACAAAATACAGTATATAGTATGTAAATGTCTTAAGAAATTTAGGTCGGGTGCCATGTTTAATATTCGATTAATACGCATTATTATTTTATGGTTTTATTTGCTATTTGTTCTGTTGCTCTCCAAAAAATGAGGAAAAATTTATGTATATAACTTATTCTAATTTATTTCCTATTGTCTGTAAAATCTTAACCTTTTAATTAATAACCCATAATAAATAACTTAACAGCTAGTAGAATATATGTTATATTATTTGTTATATCTGTTTTCAATATATTAAATATTAGATTTTTTTGTTTGTTCAAATGTTAAACTATTGATGATTTTTTTCTTTTTCATTGTTTATATCTGTTTTATTCTAAAGCGAAAAAAATAAATAATTTTAAAATGCTGTTTACTGGAATATATTTTGTTTATTATAAGTTTCTTCGCAAGAGGTGCACATCAACTGAGAAACTATACCAGGCAGTAGAGCTAGGATTTGCCACATTAACGTAGAATTGAGAGCGTAGATATGCACTTAATTTTAAATAAACCTTATAGCAGACCCGGATTTAACCTGCGAGATACCGAGAAAATCTCGGTGGGCAAAGTAAAAATTAAGCCAATAGCCTTAAATAATCCGTAATTATTTTCAGTCAAAAATAATCTAGCCTTTCTATATAGTGGTTCCTAAATTTTAAATGTATATAAAATTATATGTATAATCAGTGGTGTATTCGTAATTTTTTTCTAGGGTATACGCTCAGCACATAAGCGTTTATTGGTGGTATGGGAGGGGGTTAAACCCCTTAAAAAAATGTTCTACCTACCTAAGTTCAAAATTACATAATATGATGGAGACGTAGGATATACATCCGCCAGACTTTTTTCCTAAGATGGGGGGTGTACATTTCAACAAAAGTATTTTTGGGGATTTGAAGTGGGCGCGCGCCCCCTTAGTACTCTTGGATTCACACCTGCTATGAAATTCTAAATTTTAAACTTATTTTTAATTAACTCATAGATATTTATCATATATGAAACATAATATTTATGTTAATATTTATTTTCATGAAACCTAATGTTTTATTATGTGTAATAATATTTTAGTATTAATTAAAAAATAATTTACAAAAACATGTGACGAATAAATACTGGCTAAGTGACAAACTGACAACAATATAATAATTAATAATCACAATCTATCCAAAACATCGTAGACAGATCTGTTAATATTGTGATAAATTTATAAACAGAACTTTTTGACTGTTGATGTATTTTTAAAATTTATAATATCCGATCGACAATACAATATCGAACGCGTCCACCGGTATTGTTTAAATTCTGATATTACAGATGTAAACGCTCGGCAGTTTCCGATCGTCTCCGCAAATACCTGAAGTCGGGGGAAATTAATCGAAGTTATGCGGGCACAAGGCTATTTTTGGATAGTGGCTATAGTATATAATAACAATAAA